AGTCTGATGAAAACAATGACTGTCATCACCAGGACTCGAACCAGGGACTTTCCCTTGTAGCTAGCGATGCTCTCACTACTAAAATAAATAAAGAAAGAAAAATAAAGCAGGAAGGGGAGAAAATAGCACGACGCTAGGCGCACGCGAGAACCAGATCTGTGTACAACAAGTACTTGATAAGGTAGCTCCAAGGCAAAACCCTCATGTACATCGGTGATGGTATAGCGCAAGAAAGTCAAGCTCTTGGGCAGCGGTGCGACGGTATCACAAAGAATCAAACAAATATCAAAAAACCCAAAAGATATTTGTAAGTGCTAGATTCAAGCCACAAACCGAAAACAGTTGATACTTTACACAATCATGCCTGCGTAAAATTTGCTTATGTCTACTTTTCATACTGTAGACGTGCGTAGACGGGTGCGCAAACGTACAAAACAGCTGCATTTTGAGTGTGAAAAGGAGACGGCGTCGTGCGCCGACTACTCCCGATTCGTACTTGGAAATATTATGTCGAACACCGCCAACTCTCCTGGTCTCCACAAGTCCAGTCTGTGTGCAAGCGTGCGAGTGCGTCCTTAGGTATGCTACAACCCCACTGCCAACACTTGAATGATAACTGCAGAGAATTGTTCTTTAAGTCGTACATTTTGCCTATATTTGACTATTGCGATATAGCTTGGTGCGGGTTGTCTCAGACTTTACTCCACAGACTGGAGGTACATCAACGCTTGCTTCTGAAAATTCTGTTTCGAAAAGACCAAACATTTGCCTCCCTTTGTCTTTATAAACTTGCTTCCACGCACCCTCTTCTTGCCCGACATCAGCAGCATCTTTGTATCCTTGTGCAAAAAATCTTCCTAGCCCAAGTCCCGAAACATATTGCCAAGTACAACTGGTTTGTTACCACTAGACCAACACGCAATGCCTTATCACTGCCCCGAGCTAGTTCCTCTCTGTTTTTGAAATCCCCTTTCTTCTCAGCATACTCCCTTTGGTCTAACCTGCCTACTAGCATTAAGACATGCCAGGATATCAGGAAATTCACAGTCCAGCTTTCCACACTGTCTCATCCGAAGTGATCCCATGTATTATTAATGTGCCTCCCTTTCTTTTTCTCTCCCTATCTCCTTTCCCTCTCTGACAGCATCTTTCTTTTTTTTCCCTTTTTAGCTTGCCGTGGTTGGCTATCACCTGACCTCTCATGTTTATTGGCAGTCTTCGGACGGGCCAGGAGATGTTGAATAAATAAATAAATAAATAAATAAATAACACGGCGCTTCCGTTGATAACTCGCAGAATGGCTAACATGACTTGAGTTGAATTTTAACAAGATACAGTCTGATGTTATTTATGGTATTTAGGAATAGTTGAGGAGCGTGACAGACGAACTGTTTTATCATTTCCTGGAGCTATTATTTGAATGGCACACCTTTCGAAGCTACTTTTTGGGTGTTCATGAAAAACTGGTATTCTGAACTTGATTCCGCTTTATTCAAGAAGAAATAATTGAAAAGAAGTTTCAAAAAACAACAATTAGGTCCAAAAGTCACCCTGTCACGTGCCTTGTGCCTTTTGACTGGCGCCGTTCGCAGTTGAACGACGCAACGACTGCAGCATGTCGTGTCGTAGAATCGTACAAGATTTTACAGCTCACCCCAGCCTTCCCAACAGGCCCTTACCATCCCCCGTACCGTCGGCGCTCCGTCGAATGTGAACTAGGCTTATGATAAGCGCGTAGTGCAGCCTTAGCCGTACACTTTCGCTGATGATCGATCGACGACACCATAATGCATAGCGATCTAAAGGCCGCCTTTGCTAATTGCTTCCTTCGTGCGATATCTTCTTCGTCGCCGAGGAGTGAACCGATTTTTGTTTTCCGCCACACTTCAGCCAGGCGGTATCCTTCTCGGCGCAATGTGTTTTTTCTGTTTTATCTTCGTTGACCTTCAGGTGCCTGTCACGAAGGACAGCGATGATATCTGCTTCGTAGCTCTTCATCCAGGGTCTGGATTGGCTGGTGAAATCAGTGTCATCGGCACAAATCACTTCTGGTGGTAGAGCCATGTCGCGTGTTGGTCTGGGCGGAATCGATGCTCTGATGCTTTGATCTCCCTCAAGGCTGATTCCAAGTAGATCACAAATTCTACAGGAGAGGAAATCTCTTTGGGGGGGGGGGGGGGGGGCTCCGATGGTGGACATGAAGTCAAGTGAAACTTCCTTTCCAAGACTGTAGTGGAATGATGGCAAAGCCCCTGTGACCCAACCCAAGCGGCCACACAACCAAGACGTTTTATTTAGCTTACATTTGTCTACAAGGAAAAAAGAGAACTGAAAAAAAGCCATGATCTCGGAACTACTCGTAGTAGTAGTAGTACTGCTTGACCTAAACCGGAACTAAATCGTACCCGCACGGTACGCAGCGCAGACTGCACGTACAGCAGAACATAACCATGATAACGCGACGCAGCTTGGAAAGCCAGCTAGCTAGCTATGTATGAAACAACGGACCGCAAGCATGACAGCGGGAAATGCAAAGGGCCAGTCGGCAACAGTACACAATGACGATTTATGCTATTGGTTATCATTCATGGCTAGACCTAACACTGTATGCACGTGACATGTCGCCAAGTTATTGTTCTAACCAGAGGAGTAATTGTCACCTTCAGCAGCATGGATCTAAGAGTAAGACTAAGACTGTATTCATCATCACACCTCCACCAGGTGACAAGTCTCTTTACGAGCAAGGACCGGAATACACTCGAAACGCTGTGAAAGGAAAAACCTATAGCATTTAGGAAACAACCTAGAATAATAGAACCACAGAACAAATGAACTACTGCACACCATCAGCTCCACACTCACGGAGCATACCTCCTTGGGGCTCTCAATGTATCTCGATTCCGGAGGCTTCGTCCAACTGGCTGATCATCTTCAGCAATCGGCAGGTCAAAGGCAATGGGCAGTTCGCCATTGCTGCTAGAACTGGCCTCCACCTGGTCGACTTCCGTTGACTCTGACTCAGCCTCGCCTGGATCCATCTTCAACAGATCAACATTCACGATCTTCGTGCCACCGCGACCGTGCGCAACGACGACCGTTGAGGATGCCACCACTGCCTCGACCACCCAACCACGCTCGTAGGGAGGCTGGCGCTTCTGCCGTCGGTCCTGGCGTCGCAACAGTACTGGATCTCCGGGCTGATAGGGACAGGCGACACGAGATCTCGATTCATCGATGGAGTCAGCTTGCGATAACTGGCCGTCTAAATAATCCCACACCCGGGCCGTCTGCATCTTCAGCTTGTCCACCCAAGCGCTCTCAGATAGCTCGCTGCCGGACTTCTCCACCACCAGGCGCTTCGGCTTCCAGCCATACATCGCCTCGGCCGGGCTGATTCGAGTGACACTATGCGGGCGTACACGGTACTTAAATAGCAGCAGATCAAGAGCCGCTTTCCAATCATCCTCTTCCTCCAACACCTTCCGAATCAAAGTGAGGAGCGTACGATTGAACCTCTCTACCGTGCCTTGACTCTGCGGGTGACGAACTGCACCATGCTGCACTCGAACTCCAAACGCCGCAAACAAAGCCGACATGATAGCGTTGACAAACTCGGTGCCGTTGTCGCAGCGCACAATCTCTGGTGGGCCCCACCGGGCACAGATGGACAGAAAGGCATCAGCAACACTTCGTGCATCGTGCCGGGGCAACGGAACGACTTCAGTCCATTTGGTAAATGCGTCCACACACACCAGGACGCAGTGGAACCTGCCATCACGACTGCCGCCGAGCTCCATGGTGTCGATGAACACGGTGTTCCACGGACCAGATGGCATGGCAGACCTCGTAGCTGGAACACTCTCGCCACGCTGCGGACTGGCAACAGCACAGGCCTGACACTTGCCAACAAAGTCCTGGCACTTTGCTGCCATTGAGGGAAAGAAGCACCGGCATTGCAAAAACCGCCAGGTTCCCTCCCAACCGGCGTGTCCAGTCTGAAGATGGGCTGCGCGCAACACTCTCTCCTCCAGAGACTCTGGGACTACTGGAACGACTTCTTCTTCACCAGTCGGCACCTTGAAGCTCCTCATCAGGACACCGTCGGCAACACAGAGTTGATTCTGGATCTTCTTGTAGCCAGCAGCGACAACTTCCTGTTCAGCTGTCTTCGCTGCAATCACCGCTGTGATGGCCGCATCACTTTCCTGTTCGCTGGCTATCTCTTGGAGCGACACAGGGCCAAGAGCAGATGGATCGATGCAGGCACCAGACACGCCGACGTCAAACTCGCCGACGCCTGACTGACCTTTCCAGTACTGGACGAGCTTCTCAGGAACTCTAGTCAGCTCGTCTGCCTTGTTGCTGGCAGATGGAACCCACTCCAGATCAACGCTGAGGTCAGCCGCTTTGATCAAGTCATCGATGATTTGGAGTCGCCGGTGAACCACCACCTTGTTCAGCCCACTGACTTTGATTCGCTTCAAGTGGCCGAAAAGCGAGCTCAGCCAGCCATGAACGGTCTTGGAGTCGGTCAAGACCTTCACCTTGCGCACATTCCACTCAACCGCCAAACTCAGGCCCTTGATGACCGCCTCGAGCTCTGATAGGTTGATGTGGCGAGTGTCGTTCTTCAGTCTCAGCCAGCATTGGTCCTCTACCACTCGGCCGTCGACTTCCAGGGCCACGCCATAGGCGATACTCGAGGCATCACACCAGATCTTCCAGGAGTGTTCCTCGCCGCTTGGAACGCTCCAAGCACCATGAACTGGGTCTTCCTTCAGCACCCGAGCCATGACGTCACGACACAACACCTGCAACTCTTCTGGAACCGGCTCATCCCATGCATCAGTCAGACAGGCCAAACGACGGAGCCAGCTTGACATCGGCCGCAGCCAGCGACACACAGGATAATGCGCCGTCAGGGCGCCACACCAGCGAAAGATGCTACGCTTCGTCAGCACAGCAGGAATATCAATGGATGTCGGGTCACGACGATCCCATCACAGCTGGTCTCCCTCAGCATCAATCTTCAGGCCAAGCACGCACGCCTCCTCAAGCTTCACAGGCGGCTTCGTTGGTAGACCATACCGTTGCAGAGAGGCAGCCAGCTCCTTGGTCTGATGGCGTGGTGTCAGGATGTCATCCACATAGTTGTCAGTTGCCGGAAAGTCCTTCGTAACCCACCGGACAATAGCATCCATGACTTTTGGTGCGATTGAAAGGCCGAACCCCATGCGCTGCATGACAAACTTCTGACCTTTCCAAGCCACCACCTGAAACCGCTGCAAGGCAGGCTGTACACGCACGTTCAGGAAGGCCTTCCGAATATCCAGGATATCCATAGCATCGCCGCACTGGCGCCATTTCCGAAGCTTCTCTTCACATGCTGGTGCATCCAGGCCCGGATGAGACACAATGAGACTGTTCAGCGCGCGATAATCCAGACAGGGGCGGACCGGAGTGGACACTTTGTGCTCTTGACACACTGCCAGCAGAGGCAAAACACCGCCAATCTCGCCGTGCGAGCCTTCGTCATAAGGAACTAGCCATCCTTGATCAATCCAGTTTTGGACCTCGGTGACGAACTTCACCTCCTGATCATCCGATAATCCTTGGCGGGAATACTCGCCGATGCCTGTACCGATAGGTGAACTTGGAGCAGCTCCGTCGCACCATTTCCAAGTGACTTCCCAGAAGCCTTTCTCGGGGTCGAACATCACTTCACAGTCACTCATCTCCAACGTGACCTTGTCTCCATCCTGTCGGACCTGAACGTGGCGTGGCAAGTGCTCTTCATTGCTGATCTTACTCTCGACTGCAGCCACGACTGGCCTCGTTCCGAACACAGCACCAGTTAGCTGGCCGTCACTCTCTGAATACTCCAGAGCAACACCACCGGCCGATGAGATCACATCAAGACCAATCAGCATGTCAGAGCGAACCACGTCCAGAGAATCAACTACCAGAAACTTGGCCTTGATTTTCGGCAGGTACACATTGTTGTCATCACGGGAGACAGTCAGCTCCACAGTGCCAGTGATATCGAGTGAGTTGCCGTTAATAGCCGTGATCATGTCCTCACCCGACGGCTTGCAGACAGGCACAGACAGTGTACGCACCGCAGCAGAAGACACTAGGGAGCGACTCGAGCAAGAGTCAATGGCTGCCTTCAGCCTGGTCTGCTCTCCATTGACCGACACGAAGACTTTCGGCAGGCCACCACGACGCCTGGCAACGAGGGCAAGACATGCATCATCTTCGCACTCTGCAGCAGCGACATCTGGTGATACTGCAAATGCATTGGCACCTGCACCAGGAGTCCTGCCACTCACTTGTCCTTCGGATTTGGCCTCAGGACAGTGCCTCTTGATGTGACCAAATCGCTTACATCTGAAACACTGCACCTTCTTCTTCTTGGGGCAGTCCCTCCTCAGGTGGCCAGTTTCTCCGCACAGGTAGCATACTCTGCTGTCTCCTGGCTCAGGTCCTACGGCAGACGCGCTGACACCAGGCTCATCCGCCACTGGAAGGAGAGCACGTGCTTGCTTCGTCAGCTGTGTCATCGTGGGATCCCCACTAGCCGCCGCACTGAGGCGCAGCTGATTTGCAAATTGACGAGGCAGACCTGACAAGAACTGCTCGACGAGCACCGGGTCTTTTCCATCTGCTGCTTCCTTGTGGCCACTACGCGTCAACAAAAGGCGCAAGTCAGATGCATAAACATCAACAGTTTCATCTTCCCGCTTCCGACGTCGCACAAACTGGGAGTACGCCTCCCTCGACGAGCAGGCGAACGACTCCTCAAGCCGTGCCTTCACCTTATCCTCGTCCTCCTGATCCGCAGTAGCCATTTGTCTCCACACCGTAAAGGCATCGCCAGATAGATACAGAGGCACATGCGCCATTCGCTCCTTGCCTGTGCTCCATTTCTGAATTTTTCCCACGACCTGGAACTTCTGCCAGAACTCTTCCAAGTCCTCCTGGCCACTAAATGCGCGCAACGCGCCTTCTGCTTTCGCCATCCTTAGTTCCTCCCCGCAGTCCCGGGTTTCGGCACCAGAAACTGTAGTGGAATGATGGCAAAGCCCCTGTGACCCAACCCAAGCGGCCACACAACCAAGACGTTTTATTTAGCTTACATTTGTCTACAAGGAAAAAAGAGAACTGAAAAAAAGCCATGATCTCGGAACTACTCGTAGTAGTAGTAGTACTGCTTGACCTAAACCGGAACTAAATCGTACCCGCACGGTACGCAGCGCAGACTGCACGTACAGCAGAACATAACCATGATAACGCGACGCAGCTTGGAAAGCCAGCTAGCTATAGTCCGTTTCAAAAAGATTTGCAATCCTGGCGATCGCCCGCGGAGTTTGGCGTCTTACCGTATGAGCACTCGAGCGCTGCCTGGAAAAACTCACTGTGAACTCGAAGAAATATTCCGCGCGAAAGCAGGAAAAATGACAACTCACTTACGTTGATACAGTCATGTACGTCTGGTTTACAACAAACGAGTTCTTCCTCGTATCGATAATGGAGTCAGAGCTCTAGAGAGGACATGTCGAAACGAAAATGTTGTCAATGTTGACGAGCGGCATGGGTCCGAATTCGTTTTGTGACCAAAATAGTTTCTTTGAGCTGCGATGCAATTTACTCACCGTGTGACGAAAACGACATCGACACGGACTCATTCCCAAGGCCATGACTTGGCAAAGCTATCCGTGTGACTTCGACGACATTTTCAGAAACACACACGCTTGTGAACGCTGATAGAAGACGGCGTTGACTGCTAAATTCAAATAAATTGGCCGGATCTTGAAATACTAAAATAAATCTCAAAAAGCTACAGCGCGATGACTTCCAGTATATTCACTCACACCATTGCAGTGTTGTGGGTGTGTTCACATGGCGTGAGCCAGTCAAGTGTCAGTCAGTTCGGCAGGAAGTGCGAGCTCCAACAACAAGTCGTTTGGTGCAGCCATCTTCTTTGTCTTGTACCAGCATCACCATTTGCAAAACAATGAAAAAAAAGTTTGACTTAGGATAGGTTGGGATTTGAACTCACAACTTCATGGTCAGCAGACAGCATTCATAACCACAAGGCCAAAAAGGAAAGGATAAATCGTGGGTTTTGGTTGAAAAATCGATACTGGCTTCCTGGGTAAATTGTAAACCATGGGAAAAGGCCGGAAACCTGGCCGAAATTCTAACTCCTTAACGGTTGGTCCAATTGTTCCGAAACCTTCACAGAACAATTTGCCGTGTCCTAACAAGCCATTCTATGTATTTTATTGTCCAAATTTCCCTTATCTTCATACTTTTTAAGACCCAAACCTGATTGTAAATCTTTTTGAAACAGACTGTAGCTATGTATGAAACAACGGACCGCAAGCATGACAGCGGGAAATGCAAAGGGCCAGTCGGCAACAGTACACAATGACGATTTATGCTATTGGTTATCATTCATGGCTAGACCTAACACTGTATGCACGTGACATGTCGCCAAGTTATTGTTCTAACCAGAGGAGTAATTGTCACCTTCAGCAGCATGGATCTAAGAGTAAGACTAAGACTGTATTCATCATCAAGACGGACAGATATGGTCGTGTTTGACAGCAGTATTCGTACCAGTCGGATGTCATCCTCCGTCACAATTGCTCTCATGGTACTTAGCAGCATCTCCCTTGAAACGGTGTCGAATGCCTTCCACATATTATCTATTCCTTGAATCTCTATAACGCTCTGGTACTTCTGGGTAATTGCAGCCATCCACTACTGCTGCTCTGCTGGTGGTGTCGGATACTGCTGCTCTGGTGGTGGTGCAGGGTACTGCTGCTCTGTTGGTGGTGCTGGGCACCGCTGCTCTGGTGTTGGTGCCGGGTACGGCTCAGCGCTCTGGTGGTGGTGCCGGGCACTGCTGCTCTGGTGGTGGTGCTGGGCACTGCTCAGCGCTCTTCTGGTGGTGCTGGGCAACGCTGCTCTGGTGGTGGTGCAGGGTACTGCTCAGCGATCTGCTGGTGGTGCGGGGTACTGCTTCTCTGCTGGTGGTGCCCAGTACTGCTGCTCTGGTGGTTGTGCCGGGTACTGCTGCTCTGGTGTCGGTGCCGGGTACTGCTGCTCTGGTGGTGGTGCTGGGCACTGCTCAGCGCTCTTCTGGTGGTGCCAGGCACCGCTGCTCTGGTGGTGGTGCAGGGTACTGCTCAGAGCTCTGCTGGTGGTGCGGGATACTGCTGCTCTGCTGGTGGTGCCAGGTACTGCTGCTCTGGTGGTTGTGCCAGGTACTGCTCAGCGCTCTGCTGGTGGTATGGGGTACTGCTGCTCTGGTGGTGGTGCTGGGTACTGCTGCTCTGGTGGTGTCCCTGGGTCCTGCTGCTGCTGTAGGCCTGGCCGTGATGGGTGCTGCTACTGCGGTCTGGGGTTCCACATGCTGTAAGGGTGTCTGTATTGTTGAATGCTGCTTCTGTGGTGGTGAGTATGATGGGTGTTGCTGCTGCGATTGCCATCCTGAATCCTCCTGCTGCTGTGACTGCCATCATGGGTCCTGCTGCTGCTGCTGCTGCTGAGGTGGTAACGGCCCTGGGTATTGCTGCTGCAGAGGTGGCCGTGGTGGGTGCTGCTGCTGTCGTCCATGGTTCTGCTGCTGCTGCTTCTGCTGCTGAGGTGGTAACGGCCCTGGGTATTGCTGATGCTGCAGAGGTGGCCGTGGTGGGTGCTGCTGCTGTCGTCCATGGTTCTGCTGCTGCTGCTTCTGCTGCTGAGGTGGTAACGGCCCTGGGTATTGCTGATGCTGCAGAGGTGGCCGTGGTGGGTGCTGCTGCTGTCGTCCATGGTTCTGCTGCTGCTGCTGCTGCTGAGGTGGTGGCGGTGCTGGGCGATGCTGCAGTGGTGTTTACGATGCCGATTCTGTGGTGCTAGCGAGGATGCAGTGGTGCTAGCAAGGATGCAGTGGTGCTAGCGAGGATGCAGTGGTGCTAGCGAGGATGCAGAGGTGCTAGCGAGGATGCAGTGGTGCTAGCAAGGATGCAGCATTGTCTTCAGAAGCACCTCTGATGCATGTTTGCTCTGTGGCGTTGACAGTATTTCGCCACTGATGATACTACGGCGGTAGCGGGTGCTGTACGTGATAAAAGCAGTTAGGTGTTCGATGCCCTCTTGGTAGTGTTGAGTTCGAAACAGGACGACTGACAACGGGAACAAGTTAGTGGGAACGACATTTATTATAGACGACGAGACAAGAGACCAAGACGAACGAAACGACTACATGATGATTATTGACGAGTGAGAAAAGAGAGAGAGAGATCAAGTCTGAACGGCAAGATAAAGGGCCTGGGTAGCTATGGCAAATATGGGCGCGCAAGTAGCTACCCAGGCCAACGGAACAAAAGGAGACAAAAGGTGAGTACGTAAGTGCATGCAGGTCAGCTAGAAAAGGTACGGGAGGTGGTACCTAACATACCACCCCTCCATGAAAAAAAATCCCGCGTCCTCGCGGAGAAAAAAAAAGAGAGAACAAGATTTTAAAAAAATGACTGAAGGAGAAAACACACGCACACACACACACCGCACGGGCCTCACAAAAGTGTGTACTAAAAATTGCACTACAGTCTACAGATCATTACAACCGTCAACGTTCCTGTACTACTCATACTATAGTGTATACATTGCCAATAACAACGGGCCCAAACGCCCCTTCAAAACATGGCACAACAAATAACTATTGGAGTTCGACGAGGGACTTGAATTGTATTCTGAGGACTAGTATTTTGCACGGCTAATAGAGCCTAGTTACACTTTAATATAGGACATAAATAAGAGAGCGTGGCTCACCATGATCGGACCCCTAATATTAATGAAGGACACCCGCGCGCACACACACACTACAAAAAAAATTCACGAAAAAAAAATTTGACGAAGAAGGAACGCATACAAAAAAAGAAAGAAAGAAAGGTAGCTGACCTGCATGGTTAGAACGAGACGAGGTTGACATAGACGAGACGAGGTTGGCGTAGGAGAGGCGAGGTTGATAGAGACGAGACGAGGTTGGCGTAGGAGAGACGAGACTGACATGGACGAGACGAGGTTGACATAGACGAGACGAATGGCGGTTGAGGACGGCTGGGCATGGGATGATCTCAGGGTCGTGGGTCGATCAATAATCGGGCGCCAATGTTGAGTTCGAAACAGGACGACTGACAACGGGAACAAGTTAGTGGGAACGACATTTATTATAGACGACGAGACAAGAGACCAAGACGAACGAAACGACTACATGATGATTATTGACGAGTGAGAAAAGAGAGAGAGAGATCAAGTCTGAACGGCAAGATAAAGGGCCTGGGTAGCTATGGCAAATATGGGCGCGCAAGTAGCTACCCAGGCCAACGGAACAAAAGGAGACAAAAGGTGAGTACGTAAGTGCATGCAGGCCAGCTAGAAAAGGTACGGGAGGAGGTACCTAACAGTAGCTAATAAAGGAGAAATCGGTTTGAAACCGTTTTCATTACTTTCCTGTGACATGTGGAGTCGGCTCGAGTAGTTTGCTTCCTTCTGGGCTCGTCCAGCCCGCAAATCCTTCATCCAGCTGGTTTCTTGCGCTGCGAATCGGCCATTATAGTCTTTGGCCCGTGCTGGGCACATTTGAGCGTGCGGGTCTTGGGCCCTGTTTGAGCTGGCTTGCTGTGCTGTGCACACTTTGCGGTTTGGCCCTGTACTGCCTGGTTGGTGGCATACTATGCAGTGGCGCCCTGGATGCATACTTGGTATGGGACGAGTCGAGTTGACACTACTCACTAGACGCACTGTTTACACCTAAGCCAAGGCTTAGTCCTTGCATGCAGTGCGCAGTGTGCTCATGCTGTGTGTATGGGATGTCGCGGTCACGCGCTGCGAGTGGTCGACCGTGCTGCGCTTGCAGCAGAGCGTCTGGGACTTGCAAGTCATGTTCGTGTGCGGCGGATGGACGCTGCTGCAGCAACTGGTACCCTGGCAGAGGTAATAAATGTACGAATTTTGGCAACGTGAATCTGCTGACCACAGTTGTGGGAATGGGTGCGGACGAATCGTGGTGTGACGCTCCACCTTTTCGACCTCCTGGCTGGGTGCCCCATGTTTCCCGGGATGTGTTGGGCTCTGTTCCTCCTCCATCTGGCTAAATTATTGCAAGTGTAGAGAATGAGTCCAATACAAATGAACAGACTGTCCCGAAGAATTTTTATGTTGTAGCGTTGTTCTCTTGTAATAGACCATTTGACAAAATAAAGTAGGGGGCGTAAGGGGGCAAGGCATGGTCTAGGGGGGCCCCATCGTGCATGAGATCGCGCGTGGACCGTGCCCACTGCACAGAGCAGCGTGCAAGTACAGTGCGTACGTGGTGTACTGCACGGTGCCGGTGGCCGTGGGTACGGTGTTTCTTGTTTTGGTTTTGAAATAATTTGGTTGTAGTTCAGTCGGTAGTTTTCCTTCGCCTCACGATGCCATCGCACGACCACTGGGCTGTGTTTGGCTGCTCAAAATTGTATTGTATTGTATTGTATTGTATTTAAAAGGATTCTCCAAAAGCAAATGGATGCTTATCACGGAAGTCTCCCACATAAATATCGCAAGAAAAATGGGGAAATGGGGGAGAGGAGAGTGGAAGATGAAGCATGGGAAGAAGCGAAACGAGTACCTAAATATCGAGGTATAAAAGCAGGAAAGAAATCGACGAGGGAAGAAATCACCTCAGCAGATAATAGCGGGACATTTAGATGAAAAAAACCCAGCAAGGATTAATTTCAAGGAAAAAAAAATTCTCAAACGGAAAAGTTCGGAATTCCAGTCAGAGAATATCTATGCTGTGAGTAATGAGCCTTTAGAGCGATGCGAAAATTGACAGAGGACTGAACGCAGCGGATGTGTTCTGGAAGTTTGTTCCATTCCACAGATAAACTGAAGAGAGGGGATTTAAGGAAATGGGCGCCAGAACGAGGTAAAACTATAGAGGACGGGTGACGACAACTAAGGGATACATTGAATTTGAAACGAATTAGCAAAGACGGAAACTGGTAAAGACATGATGAAAATACAGCAAGGACAGAATCTGACGACGCCACTTCAGCGATGACCCTGCTTGTCATGAGCAATGCTCTAACCACTGAATTTGAATTTGAAGTTCTCCCATCCTTTCCAAATTTAATCACTTTCTTTCACCTCTGGTAGTTTCCAGAAACTGACCGTGGTTGGTCCCCTGGGGGAGGGAAAAGACCCAAGTGCCATCAGTATGTGTGGCACGTGTTGTGAGCTGCCTTTGGAGTGAAAAACTTGTCAGCGCCTTCTAGGTTCAGCCTGGTCCCATAGCTCAGTGGTTAGAGCATTGCTCATGACAAGCAGGGTCCCAGGTTCGAGTCCTGGTGGGTCTGGCGTTTTTTTCTCTTTTCAGGCAGTTCACTTCCCCGACTGATCCTTTGAATTTGAAGTTCTCCCATCCTTTCCAAATTTAATCACTTTCTTTCACCTCTGGTAGTTTCCAGAAACTGACCGTGGTTGGTCCCCTGGGGGAGGGAAAAAGACCCAAATGCCATCAGTATGTGTGGCACGTGTTGTGAGCTGCCTTTGGAGTGAAAAACTTGTCAGCGCCTTCTAGGTTCAGCCTGGTCCCATAGCTCAGTGGTTAGAGCATTGCTCATGACAAGCAGGGTCCCAGGTTCGAGTCCTGGTGGGTCTGGCGTTTTTTTCTCTTTTCAGGCAGTTCACTTCCCCGACTGATCCTTTGAATTTGAAGTTCTCCCATCCTTTCCAAATTTAATCACTTTCTTTCACCTCTGGTAGTTTCCAGAAACTGACCGTGGTTGGTCCCCTGGGGGAGGGAAAAAGACCCAAATGCCATCAGTATGTGTGGCACGTGTTGTGAGCTGCCTTTGGAGTGAACAACTTGTCAGCGCCTTCTAGGTTCAGCCTGGTCCCATAGCTCAGTGGTTAGAGCATTGCTCATGACAAGCAGGGTCCCAGGTTCGAGTCCTGGTGGGTCTGGCGTTTTTTTCTCTTTTCAGGCAGTTCACTTCCCCGACTGATCCTTTGAATTTGAAGTTCTCCCATCCTTTCCAAAATTAATATTATTATTAAATTTTTGATAGGGCAATCCCCACAGGCCTAAGGCCTTTTGACAGTATTGATCTCTTGATATGATGTGAAGGCCATCATTTAGTTTAAATTTACATATTGATATAGGGCATTCCATTGATTGGTGACAGAAAAAAAACAAAAGAAATTATAGCAATAAAACTGCTTTATGGCAGTTTTCTAAAAAAAGTTATTGTGTTCTAGTCAATGAACCCCGTCTAAAAAGTAAGAAATTAACGAAATGTGATAGCCGAAAATTAAAATTTCACACAAAACCTCACAATAATCACACACAGAATGAAAAGCTACATGTAGAAGACCTTTTCCCCTCGTGATCTTCTTTCCTATGCATGCATGACATGCATGTTGCCAATTGTTGGTGCAGTACAAGTTTAGTGTTGAAAGCAGCATTTCAAGTGTTGTGATTATTGTGAGGTATCTGCATTCACAGAAGCGATAACCAGGCAGCTGTGTACATTATCCAGGTGGGCAGCAGAAGGGAGCATTTGCAAAGGGAGGCCATGCGAATCCTCCAGGTGTGCATGAAGCACGGAATCCGCCTGATTGCCGAATGGGTTCCCAGAGAACAAAATGAACTGGCGGACTACTATTCGAAAATAGTTGACACAGATGATTGGCGGCTAAACCCGGCTGTTTTTGAACAAATCGAGCGTTAGTGGGGTCCCCATACGCTAGATTGCTTTGCGAGTCTGAGGACGAAACAGTTAAAGCGTTTCTGTTCAAGGTGGTGGAATCCGGGATGTTATGCGATCGATGCCTTTACGGCTGATTGGTCAATGGAAACGGTGTGGCTTACA